CAAAAATCTTACACGACTGCGAGCGATCCGCGCAACGAGTTAACAGCCATTTAGATAATAAACTGTACATTTCGCGCTAAATGATAGCCGAGATCCCCGCGGTTCCCTCGCGCATCGTTACCGTTGTCTGAAAATGAAGGAGGAGGGTCGAGTCTCCGCGCATTAGAAAAATATCAAGGGCAATATTTCTTCCCCAAGAGTGTTGTTCATCGCGCCTTTCGTAACCGAGAACGAGACCTCTGGAGAAAGAAGTAGGGGAACGGGCGAAAAGAAAAATGCGACAAGTAAGGTCCTGTTGCGCTCTCTCTCTTTAATGTTCGGAATTCTATAACGCAAAGTTAAGGAGAACATACTGCGATGGCCTTCAAGTCCGAAAGTTCGCAAAGTTAATACAATCCAGGGGTCCGGAGTTTTGACTTTGGTCGCAACATGATGAAACTTGAGAAATCACGCTGAGAAATACTTGTTGCGAACATCCTTAGAAGTCTATTTAGCCTACGGCGTGACGATTTAATGTCTTCTGTTTGGAAGAACCAATTGAAAACTGTAAATTTCTCTTCCTTCTCAAAGAAAACTATTTTTCCGGCTGTCACATAAAAGATGTATTTAAGATAGTTACATCGTACATGATTAATAAAGATACGCAAATTAGAGAGCTGAGATTTATGGAAAATCGCGGCTAATATTTCCTATGACTGTCAGCGAATATCAGTAACGTGATTAATTTGTGATACTAAATGAGATCATACTGAAATTAATTATTCGGATATTTTCGATTTGTAGATTGGAAATATTATCTTCAATTTCACATATTGCACATCGATTATGTATCAAGTTGCACGCAGTTCAGAGATATCCATTAATAAAAATATACTACAGTAAAAATATATACGTAAATTATTTGTGGAAACAATGGTTCCATATTACAGAAAAATATTTGCATTGATGTTAATATTTATGATGTATACATTTCGGTATTTTATTTCTACTTTTAACGGTATTATCAGATGTTTTAAAAATTTATATTCTTTACATATTTTTTTCATGTTGAAAAAAATTAAATCCTTGAAACCAATACCCGGTATTACCAATTCTGATATCACCAGCCGTATTAGCAAAGATTATATAGTAGTAAAAATTTTCAAAAATAGCAACAGTTTCGCGATAACGTTTGAATGACAGAAATTATTTCAATTCATAGAGACGTAATTCACAAAGAATACCCGCGGCAGAAGTTCTTAGCTATTTTTTCTCGCACGGAGAATCCTCAAATTTCTCATAAATTACCATAATTTCCCAACCCTAAAAAAATAAAAGACTCGCGTCTGGGTTCGCGTAGAATTCCATCCCGATTACGTCCATATCAGAGACGAGTCATAATTTACGGACCCGCGACGCGGGAACGAGCGCATTTACTTTCCATCGACGTACAGGGGGGGAGGGGAGGGGAGGAAATACACTTTTCACACCCTCGCTCGAAACACCATAAAGCGTGGCTAGGCGGGAAGGTCGAGCGAAGTCAAGTTGGGTTAGGTTAGCATCGTGAATGACGGAGGAGGGTCGCGTTTCGCCCCGATAAAGTTTGTTCGATCGGCCGTTAGTCTCCTTCTTATGGCCCCTTTGCTGCAACAAGCTTTAAATTACGTTCATACGAAAGTTCGCGAACGTCGCTCGCCAATAACTTGAGCATCTTCCAAAAAAAAAAAAAAAAATGCGCGAATTCTTAAAGAGAAAGAAGAGATACGTGGATAATAAGACGTGAAAACTGATGGCAAAACTTTCTTACAAAAATACACCTCCAATTAGATTTTACGCGTCCGTTAGCCCTTTAAATTCTTCTTTACCCACATCCTAAATTTATGCTAATTATGCATAAACGTATTATTCTCGAAAAGACTTCACTCGGGTCACGACTCCACAATGTGGAACTGGCATTACACACACGTGCGGTTCGTGTCTTTTCCCGTGGACTTGGAGGTCGGGCACGTTGTGCCGGAAAGCGTGCAACGGCCGCGGACGAGCGTTTAACTTTGTTCCGAAGTTCTCCAAGGTCGTGCCGGCGCGGCGCGCCCGTTGTAGGTCGGTGCCACTGGAGTAAAGCAGCGAGAGAGAATTTCCCGAGGCCGCGTCATAAATCTCTATCTGCTGCCTGGGGGTAAATGTTCGCGGAATAGACTTTGGCGACGATTGTAATTTCGCGCCACCGGGATGTTGTCTCATCCCCACGTGTATGCGAACACGTGTGAATATCCGTGTACCTGTACCGCCGAGAGCGCAAAAGATTTATCTAGCCCCACTTTCTTTTCTTTCGCGTGAACGAGGAGAGGAGCGACGCTTATTGCTTCAGCGATTGTGGCTTTTGGTAAATAAATTTATTATCAATGTGACGTAAACGCGGAAGAATATTTTAATTTATGAACCTTTTTATTAACTTCTTTAAAAGTCCTTTTAAACAGCCACATATAGTAACTAGAAAATTTTATTTTTGACCGCTGTAAAAAACGAAAATTTCTTGACGTTTCTTTAATATCCCATATAGGATCACCAGTAACTACACTGTTAAATCTATAGTGTCAACTTTAATCTAACGTGAGTCGCCACTGTTCCTACTAAATATATTATTATTTTTTACCATAATGATACTTAAATTTGACACTATATCGTACTAATTTGACACTATACAGTATCAAATTGACATTGTATAATGTCAAATATAACTATTGTTTTAGTATAAAATAACGATATGATTGAATAGGAGCAGTGGCGACTCACGTTAAGTTAAATTTAACACTATAGATTTAACAGTGTACAATGAAACCAACGCTACTGTCAATTGACTCTCAAGGTTCTGTTCAGTACTGGGCCATCACTGGCAAATGACTGGCTAAAATGACTGACCCAATACTGGACTGATTAAAACCCTACATAGGATATTTATTTAATAAAATTTTTAATCGTACATTCTTATTTAAACATTAATGTAGAAAAGATATTCACATCTACACAAAGTATTCATCTGTAGGAAATATTCTCTTACATGAATTTTCATCTTTGCATGTATTTTAGTGTTACTATAGGATTAAGCTGTAACCTCGAAGTGATTATAATACACGATTAGCAAGATAGTCAATTCTGCGACAAAGTGTGACGCAGAAAGGGATTAACGAAGTGAGACTTCAACGCGTAAATAATTCACTCATAGTCGGCAAATCAACCTCCACAAACGACGAACGATTATTTCTAGTTGCACGGACGTGGCACAAGGCGAACTCATAATCCAATTTTATGTGGCAAAGTAGAAAAAAATCGATCGACCCATGCCTGACCTAAACTCCGTGTTTAATCCTTCTTTTCTATCGGTTCTATAGCTTGATCCGCCGACAAAGTATTATTTGGCCGTTAAATTGTTGCGATAACGTAACATAGAGTTTCGCGGAAATGTCAAAAACAAAACTCCCCGGGGGGATTACTTGACAACGAGCACTTAGCTGCTCATTCGTACGGCCGTAAAAACGACCGTTTGAACTTTTCGCACGCACTGCCGATCTGCATAACCGCGGGAAAACCGGCGCGAATATCTTTTATACATTACGTTAAGCGCCGTATTTGCTTTTCGCGATACGAAATAAACGATCGCGTGCGTTTACCAAGCATTCATACGTCAATATTTAGAACGAATTGTCGTCCGTACGATTTACCGCTGTTTGTACGCTATTTATACGCGCTATTTATTATTTATACAATGGAAATTTGCGATTCGCGGCGCTAATTGACGCTCGTCGCTGTTGCAACATTCAAGCGGTCAACCGCTAATCGTTTGTACATCTTGCACGAGATTAATTTATATATCTTCATGAAACATTCTCTCTCTCTCTCTCTCTCTCTTTCTCTCTCTCTCTGCTTCCTTTTTCTCTTTTTCTTTCCGCATTTATATCCGTAATAGATCGACACTAAAATAAGTGATCTTACAATATCCTAAAATGGAGTCACCCAGTTTTGCCGTGTAATAATAGTAAATTAATAATGGAATACCAATAATTTCATCAATACTTTACGAATGATTAAAGCTACTATCTTGTAGAATTAATTCGACAATTGAATGAATTATTTAAGAAAACTGGACGACGAAGAAAAGTAAGCTTTTGAATTGTTGCTTCGATTAAAATACTTCCAGTAAGTTGAAGTTAGGAAAAAAAGGTAAATCAGATTAAAATATGTCTCAAGTGTGTGTAATAAACTTTAATGATGAAATTCACGACGATGATTTTAGTATAATCCGGGCAAAACGATACCAGCGCGGTACCATCGACAATGGAAACAACAATGGTTGTCATTTCTATTACAATAGACACGCTGCGCGCTTCTGTTCTAACAATTCCATTATCTCCGCGCGAAAGCCTCCGCCAGGGCGAGGCTTTATTATGCCTATCAGAAAATTTAGATCGTTTATTTAATGGGATATAAATAGTCGAGCGCGGCCTATTAACAAAATACGGAGTATTTCGCGTGGAACAATAGCTTCGCGAAGTCATTTGGCCGTTCACACGACGACTGCAATTATACGTTTCGTTATAATGGCGCCACAAGTAAGCAATTTAATGCTTAACGTTATGCAATTAAAATTAAAAATGGATCGCATAATATCACGGACGTCGATTTCATTAAAATTTTTAAAAGCCGCCCATGCGTTTCGGCGGTGCGTTTCAACGATGTAACATGCTCCATTGTACACGATAATAATTTCATCCTTTTTTTTCGCAGCCACAATTATTGCAAGACGTGAAAAATGCAAGGGAAACCATTTCAAATTTAATAATTTATCAAGCATTTAATTTGAAAGTCTAATTTTGCTTGTGGATCTTAAATTAATAGATCAGGATCAATTCACAAATTAATACTTTACTACACGGAGTAATGAAGTTCATTATAATCGTGAGGACGTGATCATTAAGTTCTTAGTATTAATTTATGCAGTTAAATAAGTGTGCCTCTCTTTTCAGGGAAATGCCTACATCTAAGTGGTCTCACGCCCGAACCATTGACTGCGGACGACGATTACAAGCTTTTGCGACTCGGTATCGGCTTTACAAATATGGTAGCACGTGCGACGAAAGGCAGCGCAGATCTTACAAGAAAGGAAATTAAAGAAGGTCAGTATGCCGAACGCTTTTAGTACGTTCGAAACGAGCGATGAGATAATTACGAAATCTCGGTCGAAAATAATTATTGCATAAGCCGATATCGTCCCGACATAATTTACGGGAAAATTAATTTGAACTTTGTATTATATTAACGTACGTTATACAATATTTTATCATAATATTTATATTTTATTATGTAAAAAATCGAAAGATAGGATAATATATCGGTCCGATTAATATTTATGAATTTAAGCTCTACAGTTTCGACATAATAAGTATTTGAGACATGCTGAAATTAAAACATTCTTAAAATTTGTGAAGTTATTTTTGCAATGATTAATTATATACAGGGTTTCTATTGTTTTTTTTTATTAATTCTTTAGTCATCTCGATTTTCCTTTTAAAACGGTTTATTCAAAATTTGTAATTCAGAACACTGGCTTGACATGCATCGGTGTTCACACCTATTGCTTTCCTTTTTCTATTTCCATTAAAGTCGGCTCTAAACGACATGGCCAACATATGCCTTTGACGAATGCCCTATCCCTGTACTAATGTTGACGTTCACGCCTATTTACTTTCCTTTTTCTATTTCTATTGAAAAAAAAGAAAAATGGACACTGACATACGTGAATACAATGTGTACAATTTACGAATCTTGGACAATACTATTTAATTGAAACTTTCGAAAAAACTTTCGAAAATTCTTCTAAAGAACAAGGAAACAATGATTCAATTGTTAGAACTGTAATATTTTATGTCTATTGAAATAATAGCTCAAGGACAGATGTTTTAAATTTTCGTAACACCAATTGAGGAGATTGACGGAATAGAGACACAATTCTATCTTAGGCCCTTTTTCCAGAAATAAACAAAGAATTGATGTTGCTTGCATTAGTTACTAGAGACTGAACGAAAATGGTACGATAATGTGTTTTTATTACAACATATTTATGTTAAAATATCTTACGAAAACTCATCAGATGATGATTGAACATTATTTCAATCTATTTTGTACAAGTAAAAGTAAAATGTATTTCGTATTCATTTTGTATTTCTTCTAGAAAAATGTGAATATAAAAAACATTTCTGCTGTTCATAGGCTTTTTTTTCTGTCGATTCTTACAATATTATGATCAATATTTCATCTTTTTTTTTCGCAGCCACAATTATTGCAAGACGTGAAAAATGCAACCATTTTTAATTTAATAATTTAATAATAAAGAAAAAGGGACTAAGTGAATTTTTTAAATTGCAAATAGCTTTTTAAATATTGAACATAATAGAGAAATATTATATAAATCAAGATTTTGTAATTAGGCCTTTATTCCGCCCATCCCCTCAATTAATATCTCACAACGATCGTATAACGATTGTCAGAAACCAATTCTCTTTGAAATATGTTGTTAAACACAAAAATTTAAGAGAGACTTTTTTTTATATTAGTCTGATCTCAGATTTAAGGGTGAAATTCTCAAAGTTAATTTTTATATTTGATTCCTATCAATTATCAGCGAAACGGTGAGATGTACAGAAAAAAATTTTTAGATAAAAAATTTATGTTTCTGTATATACTTGATGCATTTAGATTTTTCAAGAATCTGATATTTAAAAAATACCCCCAACCTCCTCTTAAGCTTTGGGAAGTTGTTTTACTTCTTAAATTCTTGACTCTGAAATTGGGCCGATATAAAGAATATACATGTCTCTTAGGCCTGTTTTTTCATAATATATGATTACCTAAAGATTAAAGATTACTAACTGATTCATCAATGAAATTCATTCATGAATTTCTTGGTTACCTTTAATCTTTAGGTAATTTATTACGAAATCGGGCCTTAGATGTTTATGTTCGACAATATATTTCGAGGAAACTCGAATCAGTACCGGACAGTTGTGACAGCTCTTTATTAGTTTATCAAATATTCTAAAAACAGAGAATAACCGAGACACGTTTACGAACATATATGCTACGAATCGATAAGTTTTTCGAACGAAATGTGTTGCTGATTGTCCTAAAGCAATCAAGAAAGCCAATGAAATTCGAGAAAATTTGAAAGTAACGTAACTTGAACGATAAGCGAACCACTCGAACCACCGCAACTATTTTTCTCAAATATTCTCAATTGTAATTGGTCTGCTTAAGCTATTGGCGTATTTGTATTCAACGTTTCAATTGTGATGCTATAGAACCTATAAGACCCACCGCAGCGCTTTCTGTATCGTTTTGCTTAGGTTAGTTTTCCTCCTTCCAGAGAGTCTAATACCTTTTAGGTAGTAATCTAAAAATTAGTACAATTTTGACTGTGAAACTGAAAACCTCGCAGGAGTACTGGAAGAGATACATACGATGTATCGCAGCATGGGAAATACGGGTTGAAGAAATAATCGCGAGATAAGTGTGTGAGGGGTGCCCGGAGTAAATTATCGAAATCCCTGAAACGTAAGGAGTGTTTTCTTTTTCTTTTAACGGTGCAATGTGTGTGCTCGCGACGTAAACTTCGGTCTCGTTCAAGTTTATTTATTCGTGCTCTACCCTTTGTTCGAAGTTTCGGGTACACTGTTCCTCCGAATATATCTCAAGAATCGTGAAACGGAATCTCATCGAATGCACTGAGTTCTAAATAAACAAAGGCGATCTAAGAATTCTCACGTTTCGGAATTTATGCCAAAAAAGACGTGATACGCGTTGCTACACGTATTTTCCGAGCAGCCATTAAAATTACTGCAGCATGTGTATTAAAGGCGGGAATATAGAGGCTTACGTCATGCACCTAGCGAACGAACACCTAACGAACAACGAACGCAAAAGTTTATATTATTTGTTACATAAATGTCGCACAAGTTTAATCGCTATGTTCAACAAACATCGAATCTAATCGAATACTACACTGAAAAAAAAGATTGGCTGCTGCAGCAAA